TGGAAAAGAAACGTAGTCTTACACAAAACCTTGAGAAGAAAATTGTGCATATTAACAGTTCTCTTGAGAGCAGCAATAGACATTCTTCGCATTTATTCAGCAAATTTACATCCAAATCGGGAAGATGTTGGATTTGTCTCAGTTAACACTGAAATATTTGCAAAAATCAACACGGGAAAATGTTTCCCGCAGAAGCAGGAAGAGATAACCTTGCCCGGTTTTGTTTGTAGCTCTGTGGGAAACTATAGGCAACGTGACCACACCGTTTCAGCGAAATGTACATTTTCAGTCACAGGATAAGGAGTTAGCTACCCTTAAGAGCAGATCCAGTGAATCCCGTCATAGCCTTACAGCTGCCTTGACTACAGGCCCGGCTTCAGGCCTCCGAGGTACATAAGCCATACTCACCAGCGGAGCAGCGTTCGGAAGTCTCTCTTATTTTTAAACAACTTTCTGTAAAGGATTCAGGATTAGATCCTAACAGAGCTGTAGAAGTAGCTTTCCCATTATCAGTAATGAAAACAACATTTTACACACACACAAAAGAAATTATACTCTCGTGCATTATTATCAGCTTTGATTCTGCATGAGTTACTTTTCTTTCCGAAGGAATGAAATGTAACATCCCCCACGCCCGGCAACAGTGGCTAGCTACAGTGTGGACGCCGAGGCGTCCTCCCATGTTTTCTCTGGCCTTCTGATTTCCTTCATTCCTCAAATATGTCTTTACCAGAAAAAAAAAAAAAAAAAAAAACCTCAAAAACCTCATGGATCTGAGTAGCCTTGTTCTCTGCTGATGCCAGTAGGCACTTCATAAAGCCGACCGGGCGTAGAACAGAGCTGAATTAGTCTTTGTTTTTCCAGCTCTCCCACTGCCATTCGCATTAAAGCTGACCCTTCCTTGGCAGGGAAATGCTTTGCAAAAAACGCGAAGATGTCACCTCCACGCTGCACTGATGCTGCTTTCCTGCTGCAGCAGACCCATTTTAGTTAGGCAAATGGAGGCTGGGAGGGGCGGCAGCTCCTGTCGGAAGCGTGGGTAGGGCAAAGCAGGAAT